CTGGAGAACACTTAGAGAACTAAAAATAGACCTGCCATTTGACCCTGCAATTCCTTTATTAGGTATATATCCAGAAGACCAAAAATCACACTACAACAAAAATATTTGTATCAGAATGTTTATTGCAGCCGAGTTCATAATTGCCAGGTCATGGAAGAAGCCCAACTACCCATCGATCCACAAATGGATCAATAAACTGTGGTATATGTACACCATGGAATACTATGCAGCCATAAAGAATGATGGAGCCTTTACATCCTTCATTTCACATGGATGGAGCTGGAAAAAGTTCTTCTTAGCAAAGTATCACAAGAATGGAAGAAGTGTCCAATGTACACACCCCTATTATGAAACTAATTTATAGCTTTCATATGAAAGCTATAACCTAATTATAGCCTAAGAATATGGGGAGGGGAAAAAGGGAGAGGACGGGAGGAGGTGCATGGGTGGAGGGAGGGTGACTGAAGGGATCACCTCTGTGGATTATCTTTCAAGGGTACAAATGAATCTTTCTTAAAGTAAAATATAAACGTCATAGCACAATAACTAAGAAAATGACATGAAGGCTATGTTAACCAGTTTCATGAAGATATTTCAAATTATATATAAAAACATCACACTGTACCCCATGATTGCATTAATGTACACAGCTATCATTTAATAAAATAAAATAAAATAATTGGAAAACCTAAAAGGAGTGGATATATTCCTGGATACATACAACATGTCAGGATTGAATGAGGAAGAAATCCAAAACCTGAATAAATCAGTAAGAAGTAATAAGATAGAAGCATAATAAAATATTTCCCATTAAAGAAAAACCCAGGATTTGATGGGTTCACTGCCGAATTCTACAAAGCATTCAAAATGGAACTAATACCAATCCTACCTAAACTATTCCAAAAAATCAAGGAGGAGGGAGTATTCCTTAACTCATTCTACGAGGTCTGTATCACCTGATACCAAAACCAGCCAAAGGCACAGAAAACTGTAAGCCAAATATCTCTGATGAACGCAGATACAAAAATCTTTGACAAAATACTAGCAAACTGAAAACAGCAACATGTTAGAAAGATTATTCATCATGCTCAAGTGGGATTCATCCCAGAAATGCAAGGATGGTTCAAAATACACAAATCAATCGATGTGATACATCATATCAACAGAATGAAGGACAAAAAGCCCACGATCATTTCAATTAATGCTGAAAAAACATTAGATAAGATTCAACATCCATTCGTTATAAAAAACTTTCAAAAATCTGTGTATGGAAGGAATTAACCTCAAGACACTAAAAGCCACACAAGCTATTATCATACTGAATGCAGAAAATCTAAAAGCCTTTCCTCTCAGATCTGGAAGAAGACAAGTATGCCCACTTTCCCCACTGTTATTCAACCGTACTGGAAGTTCTAGCTAGAGCTGTAAGACAAGAGAAAGAAAGAAAGGGCATCCAGATTGGAAAGGAGTAAGTCAAATTATCACTGTTGGCAGACAATGCAATCTTATATCTAGATAAACATAAAGACACCACAGAAAAACTATAAGAATTGATAAAAAAAATTCAGCGAAGTGGCAGGAGACAAAAATCAACATATAAAAATCAGTAGCATTTCTATATGCCAAGAGAAAACCATCTGAAAAAGAAACCAAGAAAGTAACCCTATTTACAGTAGCAACAAATAAAACAAAATACCCAGGAATAAATTTAACCAAAGAAGTGAAAGATCTCTACAGTGAAGATTTTTTTTTTTGCAAGTATAAGGCTCAATGGCTTTTTTTTCCTCTTTTTTTTTTTAATTGAATGGTAACTATGTACATTAATGCACTTCTGAGGTACAGTGTGGTGTTTTCACACACAATCTGAAACATTCCATCAAACTGGTTAACATAGCCTTCATGTCATTTTCTTAGTTATTGTGTTAAAACGTTCACATTCTACTCTTAGAAAGATTCACTTGTACTCTTGTAAGATAAACCTCAGAAGTGATCCCTCCAAACCCCCTCCCTCCACCCATTCCCCCCTCCCCCTCCCTCCCCCCCATTCTTAGGCTGTTATTAGGTTATAGCTTTCATATGAAAGGTATAAATTAATTTCATAATAGTGGTATGTACATTGGATACTTTTTCTTCCATTCTTGTGATATTTTGCTAAGAAGAACATTTTCCAGCTCCATTCATGTGAACATGGAGGACATAAAGTCTCCATCTGTCTTTATGGCTGCATAGTATTCCATGTTATAAAACACTGATGAAAGAAACTGAACAGGACATACAAAAATAAAAGGATATTCCATGCTCATGAATTAGAAGAATCAAGCTTATTAAAATGTCCATACTACCCAAAGCAATCTATAGATTCAGTGCAATCCCCACCAAAACACCAATGACATTCTTCCCAGATACAGAACAAAATAGTCCTAAAATTTATATGGAACCACAAAAGACCCAGAATAGCAAAACCATCCCAAGCAAAAAGAACAAAGTTGAAGGATTCACAATTACCTGACTTCAAATTATACTACGGAGCTGTAGTAACCAAAACAGCAGAGTACTGGCATATAAACAGACACACAGACCAATGTAACAGAATAGAGAACTCAAAAATAAACGCACACACCTATAGCAAACTGATCCTTCACGAGGGTTCCAAGAACATACCGTAGAGAAAGGACAGTCTCTTCAATAAACAGTGTTGGGAAAACTGAATATCTACATGCAGAAGAATGAAATTTGACCTTTATCTTACTACACACAAGAATCAAATGGTTTAAAATGGCTTAAAGACTTAAATCAAAGACCTAAAACTATGAAACTACTAAAAGAAAACATTGGAAAAATGCTTCAAAACATTGGTCTGTGCAAGGAATTCTTGAGCAAAACACCCAAAGCACAGACAACCAAAGAAAAATTAGACAAATGGGTTTTACATCAAACTAAAAAGCTCTGCCCAGCAAAGGAAACAATTGCTAAAGTGAAAAGACAACTCACAGAATGGAATAAAATATATACAAACAACCCATCTGAGAAGGGGTTAATTAGAATGTATAAGGAGTGCCAACAACTACTCAATAGGAAAAAATCAAATAATCTGATTAAAAATGGGTAAAGGATCTGAATAGACGTTTCTTAAAAACAGACATATAAATGGCTAACAAGTATAAGAAAGAATGCTCAACATCATTAGTCATCAGAGAAATGCAAATCAAAACTACAATGAGTTGTCATCTCACTCTAGTTAAAATGGCTTTTATTCAAAAGTCAGGAAACAATGATTGCTGATAAGGATATGGAGAAAAAAAGGGACCCTCCTACACTGTTGGTGGGAATGGGAGTTAGTGCAACCACTACAGAGAACAGGGCACAGCTTCCTTAAGAAACTATAAATAGAACTATTATATGACTTTGCAACCCCACTCCCGGGTATATGTGCAAAAAAAGGGACTTGAGTATATTGAAAAGGTATCTGCACGCCCATGTTTATTGCAGTCATGCTCACCATAGCCAGCATTTGTAATCAACCTAAGTGCCCATCAGCTGATTAATGCATAAAGAAAGGGTGGTATGTAGATACAGTGGCAGATTATATAGCCACAAATGTGAATATTCTATTAGAATAGAAAATGTGAATATTCTATTAAATAAAATAAGCCAAGAGCAGAAAGGAAAATCTCGCATGTTCTCATTTATATTTGGGTGCTAAATATTAGAAACAATTGATATGATAGAGATAGAATGATCGTTACCAGAGGCTGAGAAGGGTCGAGGGGTGGGGAATAACATGGGGATGGTTAATGGGTACAAAAATATAGTTAGACAGAATGAACAATATTTGATAGTACAACAAAGTAGCTATAATCAACGGTAAGTTAGGGTATACTTTAACTAAAAGAATGGAATTAGAATTGGAATGTGTCGAACACAAGGAAAGTATTAATGCCTGAGGTGATGAGTACCCCAACTACCTGATTTGACTAATACACGGTGTGTGTCTGTGTCATAACATGACAAGTGCCCTGTGAATACAGCAGAGCCTCCATAGCAAAGTATTCCCTACACTGACCAACTCCTTATGTTGACCTAATTTTCATAGACTGGACATGCACAACTGTACAAATCAGCACAGTATGCCAACTTTGGTATGTTGACCAGTTTCTTACAATCCCTTGGGTGGTCAACTACTGTAATATATAACTATTATGTACCCATAGTAATTAAAACTAAAAATTTTTTTAAGAAAGAAGTAGCTGGGTATGGTGGCTCACACCTATAATCCTAGCACTCAGGGAGGCCGAGGTAGGTGGATTGCCCTGAGATCACAGGGTTTGAGACCAGCCTAATCAAGAGCCAGACCCCATCTCTAAAAATATCTACAGGTGTTATGGCAGGCACCTGTAGTCCCAGCCACTTGGAAGGCTGAGGCAAGAGAAGCACTGAAGCCCAAGAGTTAGAGGTTGCTGTGGGCTATGATGCCACAGCATTCTACCAAGGTGACAAAGTAAGACTCTGTCTCAAAAAGAAAAGAAAAGAAAAGGAGCAGGTAGCACATACATTGAATGAACAGAATTACTTTTCTTCAGTGAAGAATGTTTGTCAAGGTGGTTTGTTTATGCTGTTATTTAAATGTTCCCTCAAAACTCATGTTTAAATTTTATTGCCATTGGGACAGTATTAAGAGTTCGGACCTTGAAGAGGTGACTGGGTTACAAGGGGTCCGCCCTTACTAATAGGTTAATGTGGTTTGTTATAGCAGAAGCAGCCCCCCACCCCCACCCCGCTCTGTCTTGCACACATGCTTCCTCTCATGGGAGGCCTTTCTTCCATGTCGCGATGCAGCATGAGGGTCCTCACCAGATCTTGGATGCCCCAGGCTCCAGAACCATAAACCAGATAAATCTATCCTACTGACCAATTACCCAGTCTGGGGTATTCTGTTGTAGCAGCGGAAAACAGACTGAGACAGTTCACATCCGTGGGGCAGCTCCAGGGGTTACCTCTCATGTTTCTGGATGAGGTGGGTCAGCTGGGCTGCAGCAGTGCTCAGAAGGCCTTGCGCACGGGTCTCCGACGACTGTAGGTTCTGGACCAGGTATTCTCTGTGACCAAATCTTTTACTTAGATGATACCTCTTAGTAGCCTGGAAAAAGTCCATTAACTCTTCTACATTCTCCTATTAAAAAAAAAACAAAAAACAAAAAAACGAGATGACATGCCAAGTTAAAATTTAGAGAAAAATCTTTCTAGACACTTAAAATACTGCTTTTCCTTTAGAGAATATATACAGGAAAAGAAACATGAACACCTTTAACCTTCCTGCCATAACAGAGGCTTACAAGAAAATTATATATAAACGAGAAATGAGGGCTTTGAAAAGTGCACTCTGTACCTGGAAGGTGAAGGGTTATCAGAGCAACTTTACTGCCCCAAGAAACAGAACATAAATTTCACTCACTTGTCCTTCAGCCGTGCACACATTCCCACCTGTGGAGTCCCCACTGTGCTGGGCACCAGCAGGAGGGGCTGAGTTCTGACATGAATCAGCCACTGACCCCACCCCAGAAGCTTCCACACTCACAGAGGAGACAGGCAGGCTTGTGCATGAGGAGCAGCAAGAGTGTCCCTCGACCTACAAGTGAACAAACCCACAACCACGGAGTAAAAGGACCAGCTGCACTGGGTGTTTTCTCTGGACAGAGCCCTGGGCCAAGAATGATTCCCTCCTCACTCATCCAACTTAACCCAGGGAGAGAATATTATCATTCCCCTTTCACAGGCGAAGAAACTGAGTCCACATCACACAACTGGCAAATGGCTGAGCAGGGACTTGAGCCCAGTAATCTTTAAGCACGTGGCCTGTGCTCTGACATTATCATAGGTGGCCTCCAAAAATCCAGCCTTAACCAGCAGCATCAGTAGTGTTACCCCATGAAAAGGCTTTGTTGTCTTTTTATCTATCTGTGGAAATACTGTCCATACAGTGGATCACTAAAAGAATCAACACTTTGTCCAACAAGAAACAGATGACACCATGGACACTGTCCTTTTAAAAATTGTAAAACCTCCAGGTCTCAACACTTGAGAACAGGCTCTTCCCAGACAGTGAACTGTAAGGGTTAACAACTAAGAGAAACGATACAAAAGACCAGAGGCGGTTTAACAAGGAGGCGCCTAAGGACCTTGCTGATTAAGAAAAACGATACAAAAAACCAGAGGCGATTTAACACGTGCACCAGGACTACATACATAACCAAATTTTAAAGTACCCCTCGTTCCCCCACTAACTGAACCTATAAAAACCCCTACCTATTACAATAAACAGCTTCGGCTCAGTCCCTTTCCCAGTGTGTCTGTCTTTGTCTTATTTGTTTTCCCCTTTCATACGCCGACTCCCCAAACCGCCGCCCCCCGCCTTCGGAAGGCGGCAGTGAACAGCTGAGTGTTCAGTGAGATGTGGTCTAATATAGTATAGTATAGGCATTTCCCGAGAATTACTAGTTCCAGAATTGATGTAACAGGAATGCTGCAGCGAAACTCTGATTCTCAGAACTGGGTCCAAGCTGCTGGCTGTTGTGAGCCCGAGTCAGGGAATTTAGGGCTGGTGTGCTCTAACACTCATAGCTCTGGTCAAAAAAGCCGGTATTAGTGGTTCTCAACCAGTTGCGACCCACAGGAACTGTATTAAGGGGCTGCAGCATTAGGAAGGCTGAGAACCACTGGATACCATGGTACTATCAGCACCTGTGTAGTTGCTGCTTCACCACAATATTGTTAACATAGCATGTATTCCTTTCAACTCTCAGTGCTCCAGAGTGGAGAGTCATCCACCGCCCACCGTGAGAGTCAAACCACAACAGGACCTGCTGATATCTAAGTGATGCCATGGAGTCTGAATGTCCAGCTGTGGACACAACAGATTTCTTGTTCTATGTACTCTCATCAAAGTTTTAATGGAAAAAACCAAGAGTGAAATGGAGGGGCTAGCTCATTCTCTGTACATCCAGAAGCCTTCTGGGAGTGGCTCTCTGTTCACCAGAGGCTGGTGACAATCACTTGGTTTCCTCCTGGGATGGCCCTATGGCCTCAGCTGCCACACAGCCCTCAAGTACTGGACCTGTGCTAGTTACATGTCCCCAAGGGATAGGCAGGGCCAGCCTTCATCTTGTCTTTGGAACGCTGAGTAGTATGGCCTCATCTCAGAGGGCCTGCTCACAGATGCGGGGTGGATGCCCGTGCTCACACCTGCTCCTTGTCCTGCATCATCTTTCGCCCCTGCTTTGGCAATGGCAGCAACAGAGAGTGGTCACAAGTCTGGATTTGCTCTGGGTGGACACAGCTCATTCTGCTGTGTGGACCCCACACATCTAGTGCAAGGAAGGAATTTCACAGGGAAATTTAATCAGCAAGCCAGCTTTCCGGAATGATTTTCACATATAAAGATAAAACTGAAATAGAGTGACTGCTCCATCAGAAGGACACGTTGCTCAGGAACCACAGGTTTGCACTCATCGAATGAACACAGCACTGCACCAAGGAGCAAGTCAACCCTACAGCCTGGAGTGTGCCTGGTGGTGCCCACATCCGCCTGCACCATCCAAAGGGGCCTTTGCTCTTTGTAAACAGAGACTGGCTCATTAGTCGTAAGAGGCAGCCTGTCTGATGAATGACATCTGCATCTCTCAAATATTTTATTCACAGACAAACAGAAAATTCCATAAAGGAAAATAAAAGTTGTTTGCAACTGCTGTTCCCATTGGCCAGAGCAAGCTGTCAGCACAGTGACAACACCGGGGACAAACGGTGGAGTGCATTCTTGCAAACCAGTGATGTCGCCCTGCACATGTGTGTGGGCACATGTGCTTATAAATACTCATGCAGGCCTCGTAAGAAATTCTACAAGTAAGGTGACAGTATCAGGTAAACTATTTGCACTATCACCTAAGAAATCATTCACTCTGGATTAATAACATTCACACCAAAGCTTACATGCAAAAATACACAAAGTCATCCAGGCAAACCTAGTCACAGACAGTAACGCCCACGTGCACATCAATACACACATGTGCAGATGTGTTTCTACTGCTTCATACATTACACATATGTTATGCCACGCACTAACTTCCCACGAATCAGCTCGTTAAATCTTCATCGCATCCCTGTGAGTGTGGGTTCTCTATTATGCCTATTTTACAGGTGTGGAAACTAAGGTTCAGAGAAGTTGGGTAACTTGCTCCAGTTCACATAGCAGGTGGGTGTGCCAAGCCACCACTCTGCTTACAGGAAACTCACCCACACACCTAGAGGTACAAGGAAGAGGAATTAGCTCGTAGGTATGCAGCACAGGAGAGGCAGGACTTAATTCTGAGAAAGAGGAGAAATTTACTGAAACAATTCAGGAAAATAGCTCTCTTGTCACAGGGAGACTAATCTGAGATATTACCTGTATTTTTGAATAATTCTGAAGTAGCATTTTAGCGACCTCTGGCTTCAAGTCCCCTTTGAGAACAGCACTTTTCACCTGGGTGAAGAAGATGCCGTGCAGCTCGCCTCTCTGGCAAACGGCCAGCTGTCTACGAGCAGCGGCAAAGTCTTCCTCCTGCTGCAAAGCCAGGGACTTCCTCACATGCTCTTGCTCCAGGCAATGCAGGGTCCGCAGGAGGTTGTTACACTCAGTAGCCGACTGTGGAGAGAACAGGCAGTGTATAAGAGACCAACATACCAAACACACGTGCACATGTGCACAGAATGTAATGTGGACACACAGTGTGCACACGCATGCAAGGTGTACGTTCATGCAGGCATATGTGTGCATGACAGGCAATGTGTGCACTGACACTTGTCATCCTTGCACACACACTAGTACATGTGCACACAGTCCATACACAGTGCACACACATCTGCTCACAGGCACACACCCTCACATTCACACATGTGAACGCACATACACAGTCCCAGCCGAGGATGCCCACCCTCAGGTCTGCTAAGCAGGGGAGGTTGTGTATGAAAATGAGTGAGGTGACCCTGCGTGAGAGGCATCAGAAAGTAGTGGGGACCACACAAAGCATACAGGGCAATCCCTGCCTGCAGGGAAGCCACTAGTTAGTCTACCGAAGGGGCTCTACAAGGATATGGACTCAACATGGCCAAATCTTCTTGTTCTTTAAGAGAAGTTGGAAACTTGGCTTTTCTTAGATAGTAAATTTTATATTGTAAATATTGTCAACAAATGTGCGCTTCCACTTCCCTGGTAAACTTTCCAATACAGTGGACTTTCCAGGGAGATAAGGCATGTGTACAATTTGGTTCCAAATAGCTAGAAAAGCAACTTTCCCCCACAGGGAGTGGGAGGTATGGACCTGAGGGGAGGGGGCCGAAATTCCAATCTGAGAAACGCAAGCCTGTGTCAGGCTGACTGGAGTAACTGCGGTGCATGACATCAACTCTACACCAACAAAGGTCTGAGATATGCTCAGGAAATTACGACTGTACTAAATTATGCTCCCTGTACTCAGTTTAACAAGAAAGACAAACTGTAAAACTGTTTTATAAAAATAAATCCAGAGAGGGTTAAAGTGTAAGTGTTCTTACACTTAAAGAACCTCTTCCTTTAAGACAAGGACTCATGAAGGGTGAAGGAGCCTCAGGCAGCACAGACAGGATGCAGGCTGGGCCCCCTCCCCTTTAAGTGCCAGGGAAATGTCTGGGTATAGAAGGCATTCTTCCCCCGAGGAAGGACACAGCCCTGAAGAGCCAGCAGTTGGCTGAGAGAACCTGGGTTGCAAGTCACTTCCCCTGCAGGCCTCAGTTTCCCCATCTCTGAGGAGAAGTCCTTCATATACTGACTACCCTGATAGCACTGAATTATGGATCCTGTAAGGGCTCCCACAGGGCTGGTGCCATGCCGAGCACTGAGTGAAGTACTACGCCAGCATTAACGTGCTCATTCCCACACCAGCCCTCTGAGACAGGCACCACCATCCTCCCATTCAAAGTGTGGGGAAACAGGGCCAGGGTGACTGAGCAATGTGACGTCTGGAGGAACACAGTGACGCTCTAAACCCCAGCACCCTGTCTTCTGTGTTGATAGTCCTCACTACTCCCCTAGGGCCTCAATGTGGAGAAATCATGCCCAAACTCTGAGGAATTGCGTAGACATTTCAACAGAACAGATGTCATCTCAATACAAACTGCAGTCAACTCCTGTACCCATGGGTTCCACATCCATGAATTCAACTATCAGCGGATCAAAAATATTCAGGGGGGAAAAAGGATAGTTGTATCTGTACTAAATATGTACAGACGTTTTTTCTTATTCCCTAAATGAAAGAGAGATTACAATGATTTTCATAGAATCTGCATCATGTTAGGTATTTCAAGTCATCTAGAGGGGGAGGACATGTAGGTTTATGCAAATACCATAAGGTTTTATTTCAGAGACCTGAGCCTCTGTGCATTTTTGGTCTCTGAAGAGTTGGGAAGGGGTCCTGTAACCAATCCCCTCAGGATACGGAGGGTGCCTGTGCTGGGAATTCCTAAAATTTACTTTAAAAAGCTGATACTGATCATTTTGCTTTTTTTTTTTTTCAGTTTTTGTCTGGGGCTGGGTTTGAACCTGTCACCTCTAGTACATGGGGCCAGCGCCCTACTCCTCTGAGCCACACATGCTGCCCCATTTTGCTTTTCTTTTAAAAAACTGGTTCTTAATGGGATAATACATCCAAAATATTTTCCTGCATTCATTTCATTTCAAGATTACTATGATATGTGACAGACAATTATAATGCAGGAGTGGCTTGCACTGCTGGAAGAGATCTAGTTCTATTAACTTTAATAGCTCACATGCTATTTGTGGAAGCATACTGGCTCAAAACAGGCAGCTTGCCTCTGAGCAATGACCTCGGAGATGCAGACCAGAAGGCAGGGGTGGGGGAATGGACATGATGTGGCTGTAGAAAAATCCTGGGGAGGGCAGGTACAGAAGGTCCCAGGGGAGGGACAGGACAAGCAGAGGAAGAGCCAGCTTCCATCCTCCAGGTGCCTCCCACATAAAAAAGCATCGCCCCAGGTCATGTTTCTGGAGCAGAAGCCTTGAAAACATTTTAGATGCTCAGCAGGAGAGGATGGTACTCATAGCAAGGAGTGTCACCTGCCATTACAGTGGCAGTACGGCACCGTGGATAGGAGCACAGTGCCAGGGCCTATCTTTACTCTACCTTTGAGGCCTCTGACAGATGAACTTTCCTGTATCTCAGTTTCCTCACCTGTGAAATGGGAACCTCTCAATCCCCACCTCACTGAGTGGGTGTGAACACTTAATGAGGTTCACACAATGTGCTTGGAATAATGCCTGACCCCAGGGGACACTGAGAAGGGGCTGTTATTATTAAATACTGTATTTTTCAAAGAGTATCTAATAAAATGAGAAAATGTTTATGCTGTGATGTAAAGAAAAAGAAGAAAGATACGCAATTACAGGAACTGCATAAGCTTTACTTTGTAGAAAAATGTAATATAAAATTATTATAAAATGTAATACAAAATGGAATACAAATGTACTATAAAATGTAATATAAAGCAAAAGGCCAAAATGTCTGCTGGAATCCGAGGACAAGTGAGAAGGCCATCAGAGTCACCCCTGTATCTCCAGGGTCAGGCATATAGTAGGAATTCAATAATGGGCCAAATGAACGATCCTCTACGTCAGTGGTGAAATGGTCGTCACTATTTTTTTTCAGGGTTTTTCTTTTTAGGTTTTGAAGCTGGAATCAGTGAACTTTTGTGTAAAGTCTCAGAGAAGCATTTTGGATTTTGCAGGCCATATAAGGTCATATATTCTTTGGCATTTGTTTGTTTTTTACAACTCTTTAAAAATGTAAAAGCCATTCTCAACTAGTGGGCTGTATGCAGGCAGAATTGGGCTCAGGGTCCCTCATTTACTGAGCACTACCTTGGAATACTTTCTAAGCCTCTCTTTTTGCGCATGTATTATATTCACAGGAAATTAAAAAGACAAATTTAGGAAAGAGAGAGAGAGAGATAAGAGGATCCTTTAGGGGCTGAATCACTGAACAGGGTGTTAAACACATTCTTCCAAAGGGGGACTGGTGTATTCCAACATCACAGCCCTCCATGGACATGCCCTGCCACGAATGAAGCCTCTCTACTCTCTCCACGAACTCTCCCAGCACAGCACTGCAAATATGTGTCTCTGAGAACGTTACTGACTAATGTCTCATTTGTATATCTTTCATTAGACTATCGACTTTGTGAATTCAAAAACCATGACTCATTGTTCTCTGCACCTTCTCTGCCTAGCCCAGTGCCTAAGAAACAATAAGTACTCAATAAATGCTTCCTAAATGAACCAGGATGGATGGATGGATGGATGGATGGATGGATGGATGGGTGGATGGATGGTTAGAAGGATGAATAGAAGGATGGGTGGATGGAAGGGTAGACTGTAGGAGATAAGATCTCTTTGCTCAAGACATGGCAGTTCGCCTCAATGTGCTCCTTCAGGAGATTGTTTCTGTGAAGCATTTCCTTGAGGATCTGAGCTTCTACACTTGCCTATTGATGTGCAGGAATGTGTAGAGTGACTCTCCCTAGGGGGTGTGGAGAAACAGCCAAGGTGTTAGCTGGAGGATGGACAGACCGGTCTTCCGAGCATTGGGTTCTATTCTCTGCCTTCTTCCCTCATTAGCATTATAATGTATAACTTTACCTTGGGCGAGCGAGGACCAACAGCCAGGCTCCAATATGTTTTACTCTAAACAAAATCAACTGTATATGTGTTCCTCAGCCTTCACACTAAATTGTAATCTTAAATGGTAGCTTCCTAATATTACTTCACCTCTTTGTATAGGTGTTAAATTCTTACTGAATGTTGGAAAGTATATAAGGTAATCAGTAAAGTTTAGCTGGGCCACCGACCAGAGCGAGTCCCGGTCTCCCTTGAATATTCATTCCATCTGCAGTTCTTTCCCCTGCGTCCCCGATCAGAATCTCCAAAGAACACACAACAACAGTAGACGGTTAGGTGGGTGACGTGTGGATGCATGGAGGGGGTGAATGAATAGACAGGTGGGTGGATGGATAGTTGACAAATCCCTGAAAGGAAGGAGAGAGGTAAGGCAGGAACATCTTCCATTCAGGCCTGGCTTACCCTCTCACTTGCACGTTTCAGCAATTCTTCTGCTTCCTCCATTGCCGCCATCTCCCTCTGGTACTGATTTTCTGTCTTCTTTCTTGTTTCCAGGTCACATTCAGCTGTCAATGCCACCATCTTCCGATCATACTCCTCTTGAATTTCATTTTCCAGCAACAGAAACTGCCTTTTGAAAATGGTACCCATCCTCCTCTCCACTTGAGGTGAGAGGTGGCCATTGCTGGTGAGGTTTTTCAGTAGAAGGGCAATGATATCCTTGCTGATTTGAGTTCGACAGACCTCCAGATCTGCATCAGCTCGATTCAGGGTTGCAATCTCCAACCTGAGAGACACAAGTCAAATGGAGTTTATTACGTGAAATTGCAATAGAAACAATGGTTCCTCAAAGCTCTGAGGTGTTAAGCTATCTGTGCGTGGGTCCTTTCTTTCTTCCTTTTCTCCTTCTCTTTTTCCTCCCTCCCTCTGCTCCATGCAGTCAGGGGAGGCCAGTCACTAAATCAGCAGATCCTTATTTAATAAACTGGTAAGGTACCAGGGTCTGGACAGTAAGGAATATAACTGATATAAGACACAGTCTTGGTCAACAATAAGGAGACCAAGGGAAAGATGGATGGCTAACGTATTCAAACAACTTAAAAATAAAGTTTATTTTAGCTTTTTTCCAATTAAAAATTAATTTATGGACATGCCAACTCAATGTAATGACAGCTAAATCCCATCATATCCTTCCACTAAAAATAAATTCTTCTTAAAAAATATTTACATGGTCCTTCACAAGGTCAGAATGTTCTGCCACTTGATTGTGGTGGTGGCACAACTGTACACACTTATAGAGCACATCACACTGTACTCTTAAAATGGGTGAAATTTTATGGGATATTAATTATCCCTCTATAAAGCTAGAAAAATATGCACAAGGAAAATTATGTTCACAATAGAAAATATGGAAAATAAAGACAAACAGAAAGTGACTTCTGGGCTCGGCACCTGTAGTCAGCAGCTAGGGCACCAGCCACATAACACGGGAGCTGGGCCTGCCAAACAATAATGACAACTACAACCAAAAAATAAAAAATAGCTGGGCGTTGTGGCGGGCACCTGAAGTCCCAGCTACTTGGGAGGCCGAAGCAAGAGAATCTCCTAAGCCCAAGAGTTTGAGGTTGCTGTGAGCTGTGACACCATGGCACTCTACCAAGGGCAACATAGTGAGACTCTATCTCAAAAAAAAAAAAAAAACCAGAAAGTGACGTCTGACTCAGTGCCCGCAGCACAGTGGTTATGGTGCTGGCCACAAATGCTGAGGCTGGTAGGTTCAAACCCTGCCTGGGCCTGCTGATGCAACAAAAAAAATAGCCAGGAGTTGTGGTTGTGGCACCACAGCACTCTACAGAGGGTGACATAGTGGGGCTCTGTCTCAAAAAAAAAAAAAAAAGAAAGAAAGAAAGAAAAGAAAATGACTTCATTCACTGTGAGTTCATCATTTAATCAGAAACAATGAAGCAGCCAGGTGCTGTGGCTCATGCCTATAATCCCAGCACTCTGGGAGGCCAAGGTGGGAGGATCGCTTGGAGGCAGGAGTTCAAGACCAGCCTGAGTGATGGGGGGTGGCATGTGACTATAGTCCCAGCTACTTAGAAGGCTAAGGCCAGAAGTTTGGGGCTGCAGTGAGTTATGAGCCACTCTAGCCTGGTCAACAGAGCTAGACCCTACCTTAAATAAAGAAGAAAGAATGAAGGTATTACACTGTTAGAGTTTCTTCTAGTTTTTCTGTGTTTTTACATACATGCAAAGACTATTTACAAGGACACAGGTACAATTTCATCCTCTTTTTCAACTCACATTGCTACAGGCATCTTCCAGAGGTACTGAAAAACTAAAAATGTTTCTTTTATAACATTTTCAAAATATTTCATCGTGTGAGGCATCACCATTCAATTAACTGTTTTACTGTGGTTGCTGGTTGCACATTAGGGTTACTTGCAAATTTCAAAATCTAAAATAACCCTAAAGTAACCAGCTTTGCTACAAGCTCTTTCCGCCAAAGAGCTCTTGATCTTTGCAGTAATTTCCTCAGTACAGATTCCCACAAAAAAGATCACTGGGTCAAATGTCAGCGACATGTTTAAGCCTCTTGAGTCATCTTGCTAAATGGCTTTCCAGAAGAGTTCCCCAGAAATACATTCTGATCCTTAAACTTAGAACCCTACACTCTACATTGAGTTATTATAGATAACTCAATCTATAAGGGAAAAATGGCATAGGATTGTAAAACTATGAGTTTTAAGGAAACTACTATAAATTTTCCAAGCATTTAAAAGTAGAACACTGTGATTCCCATGTCACCCAGCTTCAAAAACTGCCAATATCCACCACTCGTTTTGTCTACTGCCTTTAAAGTTTGAGCACGTTCAGGTAAATCTCAGACGTGGTATTTCACCTGTAAGCATGTCAGCATGCATCTTTAGCTGTCAAGGATATGTATACGTAGGTAGAGAAACAGATAGATGTGCGTATATCTACCTACCTATCGATCTACATATACGTATATGATCTTTTTTACCAAACCTTGTGGCTTAAGAGTGGCAAAATATGCTACCCCCAAATACGCTGTTCTGGTATAATGACTATTTTAAGTTAAAGGCACTTCAAAAACTAACCAACCCGCAGGTGTAAGAAGGTCATTCTGATCTTCATGCTGTTTCTTAAAAGCAGATGGATGAAATTCCCAGGTGAAAGACGCCTTCCCTATGCTGGGGCGGGGAGGAACCAAAATTCTTATCACCAAGGATGGAAAGCTGAGAGCAAGAGAATTCTGTACAAACAGACCTTGGTAAGATCATTCTTATCTCGCTTTGTCCTCGCCACATAACTCAGTTGCTTTTTTCACAACTTGCTCTTTGTTCACTTATTGGGTCTTCATAATGGCTCTTGTGTCACATAAAACTTTTTATCCTGTTAATCTATCTACCTTATATCAATTTAATTCTCAGGCCCATACTCTGGGACCCTAAGAGTAGCAGTAGGGTCTGACTCCCTATACTGCCATTATCATATTAAAAATACTTAAAATAATTTTAATAATTAATAACATCTAGTGACCAGTCATTATTCAAACTATCTCAAGTGTCTCAAGAATGTCTTTTTACCTAGACAAATGGCTAACAAACATATGAAAAAATACTCATCGTCTCTAAACATCAGAGAAATGCAAATCAAAACCACCCCCTAGTGAGAATGGCCCACATGACAAAGTCTCAAAACTGCAGATGCTGGTGTGGATGTGGAGAGAGGGGAACACTTTTACACTGCTGGTGGGACTGTAAACTAACCTCTCAACCTTTTTGGAAGGAAGTATGGAGAAGCCTTAAAGAACTCAAACTAGACCTCCCATTTGATCCTGCATTCCCATTACTGGGCATCTATCCAGAAGGAAAAAAATCCTTTTATCACAAGGACACTTGCACTAGACTGTTTATCACAGCTCAGTTTACAATTGCCAAATTGTGGAAACAACCTAAATGCCCACCAACCCAGGAACGGATTGACAGCTATGGTATATGTACACCATGGAATACTATTTAACCACTAGAAACGATGGAGACTTTACATCTTTAGTGTTAACCTGGATGTAACTGAAACACATTCTTCTTAGTAAAGCCTCTGACAAGAATGGAGAAACAAGAATACGATGTACTCTGTTCTGACATGAGGACAATTGACAACTTAGTACACAGTGAGGGGTGTGGGAAGGGGGGGAGCAGACAGAGGGAAGAAGGGAGGGGGGTAGAGGGTCACAGCGTGTGACACACACTCCCTGGAGGAAGGACATAGTTATAAGAGGGACTTTACCTAACAAATGCCCTCGGTGTAACCCAGTTCTCTGTACCCTCAATGAATCCCCAACAATTTAAAAAAAAAAAAAGTGTCTTTTTACAGCTCAAAGTTTAATTCAGGAACCAAACAAAATCCCACAATGTCAGCTAAGTTTGTGCTACTCTGTAACATTCTGGCCTTCTGCTTTTTCTTCCAAGGCATTGATTCATTGAGGAAACCAGGCCATTCATGCTGCAGATGTCCCACATTCCAGATTTGGCTGATTGCGTCCATAGAATGTCACTGTACCTTTCTCTACCAGATTAGTGGAGATTACTGTAGACTAGTAATCAGATCTAAGGTCTTGATTGGTCAGATTCAATTTGTTTTCCAATTATTTTTAAGTTCTTTTTCTTACTGAAGTAAAATGTACTTCACGAACTCACCCTAGAAAAAATGCTACATATGTACCATTGCTGAATATCATTATGGACCTTCAAAGTACTCTGCTTGGGAAGCTATCAAGCAAGGCCAAAACCTAGTCCAACCTTCAGAGAAATTTTGGAACTTTTTCTGGAATGGCCAACAAAACTGTCATCAAAAGTGTCATCATATTTACACTTGATATTGTGAATGTCACCAAAATGTCTTCCTCTCAATATTTCCTTTAACTTTGGGTAAAGAAAAAAATCATTGGGTGCCAAATCAAGCAGGAGAGGGGCTGTTCCAAATCTGTTTACGGGCTACAAACTCTCTCAGACAGTGCTGTGAGACTTGGTGCACTGTTGTGATACAAGAGCCATGAGTTGTTGGCCAAGATTTTCAGTTAAGATTTTCCTAACTGTTCCTCTATCAATGTTTACTTGGTCTGCTATGCTTCTCACAGTTAGCCAAAGATTTTGATGCACAATTCAATGAATTTTTGCAATGTTTTTTTCAGTTCTTTTTGTTTCTGGCTGCTTTGACCTCTGTTTATCAGTGATACTTTCTCTCCCCTCAGAAAAATGTTTCATTCATTTGTACACTGCTATTTTCTTCAAGGCATTATCCCCATAAACTTGAAGTAACATGTCTCTGATTTCACTTCCACTCTTGCCAAGTTTAACAAGAAATTTATGAATGTTTGTTCACTGCTCTAATTTACCAACATTCTCATGTTAAACAAAAACATGCAACAATAACAAATGCTACTCAGCAAGACACCGCCACACACTGACATGAACACAGCTGTGACACCGATATACCAAGGTTATCAAACCTTGCTGAGTTTTTTGTACAGTGCTGCCAACATAAGTGCAAGGTGGCAATTTCATGCACTTAATTGGTGGACTTCATACACATACAATTTACCATCTTCATCATTTTTGAATATACAGTTCAGTGGCTGGGTTTTATCTATTACCATCAAGTGCAAATTTCTCTGTGTGCTGGTGGGTTTTGACCCACCACCATGGAGCTGCACATCTCTGTGTATAGATGGGATTTGATTCACCACCAGGGAGTTGCAGG